AATCTAAAATATTAGATTTTAAATATCTCTAATAGTCTAAAACATTAAATTTGAAATATCTCTAATCCTAAACATTAGATCTGAAATATCTTTTATTCTAAATATAAGATCTAAAATATCTCTAAATCTGAATATTAGATCTGAAATATCTCTAATTCTAAATTTTAGATCAGAAATGTCTCTAATTCTTAATTTTAGATCTGAAATATCTCTAATTCTAAATTTTAGATCTGAAATATCTCTAATTCTAAACATCATATCTGGAATATCTCTAATTCTAATTATCATATCTGAAATATCTCTAATTCTAAATATTAGATATGAAATATCTCTAATTCTAAGTATCATATCTGAAATATCTCTAATTCTAAATATTTGATCTGGAATATATCTAATTCTAAATATTATATCTGGAATATATCTAATTCTAAATATCATACCTGAAATATCTCTAATTCTAAATATCAGATCTGAAATATCTCTAATACATCTGAGATAAGATTAGATGAGTGAGAGAGAGAGATATTATGAAAGTTTGAGCAAGGACGATTTAAAACTTGAAAAGTAGTTTGTATGGTTTTTTTCTTTAACATGATGTATCATATAGTTAAGGACAAATCGATCTGATGGATTAGAGTTTCCTTGCTTTTTCTTCTTCTTCTTTTAAACCTTACTTTTTCAGATAGATATCCTCATAATATCCAGGTATAGATATCCATCCTTCTACCCTCCTAATAATATCCAGGTATAGATATCCATCCTTCTACCCTCCTTATAATATCAATGTATAAATATTGTAATGATTAATGAGTTAAATCGAGTACAATCCAGATGTAAATCTTAGGGATTTCGAGATCAATCATTTGCTCCCATGGATAGGGCGTGTACAAACATTTCACTCTGAATCCCTGTACACTTGCTCTTATAAATCGCTCTTATTCTCTTTCTCTAGATATATCTTGGAGTAAAAATGAATGTGATTATCAGTTCATAGTTATATTGGTTCCATACATCTGTACAAGGTTACTCTTGTTTTAATCAGTTCTCTTGGGTATTCGGGAAGACCAAAGTTCAGTAAGTGAAAGTATATTGGTCCTCTGTCCATCTAGGATGGTCCTGAGCATGTCTAGCTCCTCTACTGCTCCTGCTGGATCAGTATGTGGTCTAAAGACATCCAGAGGAATTAAGAGGTCAATATTGTTATAATCTCTAAACTGAACCTCAAGAGCAGCAATTCTCCGTCTAGTCCTTAGATATTTCCAATAAACAACCCTCAAAGGTTTCCTTTCTGGCAGACCGTCATTCAGCTGCTCTTGTTCAGGATCCATCTGAGCAGCTTCTTCAGATATGTCTTTAAGCTGCTCTGGTTCAGGATCTCTGAACTCGAATATCTCGTTTAAATGCTCCAGGTCAGGATGTCTCTGAGCAGCTTCCTCAGCCTCAAACACTTCATTCAGCGGTTCCGGAGTAGGATCTCTCTGAGCTTTCAATCTATCAACAACAGCTTCCATATCCTCTGCTGATTCGTTGGTTGCTTCTACTGTATCCTGGCTGCTCCTGGAGTTAAGGGACTCTCTGGGGTTGGAGAACGAATTGGAGGAGTACAAGGTTCTGGACTTTCTCTCAGGAGTCCTCCCAACTCAGAGTCTGAGTCTGCTGTTTCTACAACTGATTGGTGAAGAGCTGTCTGTAAAGAGCAGCTTCTCCTGGGTTTGACACTAAATCCCTTTATCTGTAAACCTCCTGGTTTCTCAGTCATATCTGAAGGACAATAGATCTCTTCCTCATAGATCCTCATGTAATAAATCTCGTAGCAATCCTCATATTTATAAACCTGAACACATCTAGATAAATTACATTGTACATTGTGACCTAAATAACTAAGTCAAACTTGTTTTGCGATTAAATCTAACCATGCTTATCAATAACAAACTGGGCTTGTAAATAACTACATAAAACTTGTATTGTGATTAATCTAACTGCACTTGTAGATAACGACAAAAAACTTGTAATTACTTTCATTAACTAAGCCTGTATCATAGAACTCAAAATAAACGTCAGTTGGAATAATACTCCACTTTGATAACAGTTTCAGAGTAATTGTTCCTCGTTTAGCAAACAAGAGGGGTCCTGAATCAATTTCTTGAAAGATGGATATAGATTGGGAATTACAGTGAATTGTATCTTATTATTGAGGAACCTGGAGTTCTAAATCGAGTTGTATCTTGTAAAACAGATACGGAAGGTCATATCTGGATTGCCACTAAACTAAAATCATTTATTGGAGTAGGGCATTTACTACAAAAGTGGTAGCAGCGGTGAGAATAAGGAACCCTAATTAATTGTCCCGAATTCCAAGGAAGAAAAGTACTGTATAAACTTGTTTAATGGTGTAATAAGACAAACTGAAACTGTGTCAGTTTAAATGTCCGATCGGGTAATTGTTCCTTGTTTAGCAAATGAGAGGGGTCCTGAATCACTTTCTTGAAAGATAGATATAGATTGGGAATTACAGTGAATTGTATCTTGTAAGACAGACACCTGAGAATACAGATAAAGTTGTATCCGGATTGATATTGATACTAAAGTATTTTTGAGTGACCTGGAGTTTAGGATTGAGTTGTATCTTGTAAGATAGATACCTGAGAATACAGATAAAGTCGTATCCGGATTGATACTGATACTAAGTATTATTGAGGAACCTGAAGTTCTAAATCAAGTTGTATCCTGTAAGACAGATATCTAAGGATATGGAAGGTCACACCTGAATTGGTACTGAACTAAAAGCATTTATTGGAGTATGGCATTTACTACACTCATAATCTCTTCTTCACTTGGGGTCATTGGTCTTCACCAGTATTCTAGCTGCTCTGGATCAAAGCAAAATCAGGTCCATGCATAAAATCTTCTGGAGAGTATAAAGCAGCCTCTTACGTACTGGCTGGATAATCTAGTTCTCCTCTGTTTGAACACTCTAGCTGCTCCAAGCCTCCAGTAGCCCTGTTCAAAGAACCAGCTGGAGAATATATCTTGGTCTGTAGTTGGATTGGCTGGTCTGTATTTGGACTTATATGTCCTGGATACTCCAGCTGCTCTAATTCTCCAGTGTCTTTGTTCATAGAACCAGCTGGAGAATATATCTTGGTCTGTGTATGGACTGGCTGATCTGTAGTTGGACTTGTATGTCATTGATACCCTAGCTTCTCTATATCTCCAGTGTCTCTGTTCATAGAACCAACAGAAGAATAAAGAGCTTCATCTGATACATGTTGGTCCGTAGTTGGACTAGCTGGTATGGTTACAACTGGAGCAGGACCAGAATCCAGTGGAGTAAAATCTCTTGGTGATGCTGATGAATCCGATGAAGCATACTCACGTATAATTATGGAGACGGAGGCTGGTGTCCTCCTTTGTTCTCAGACCTGCATGTTGAAGATACATCAATCGGATATCTGTGTAAACGTGCAGGTTCTCAGGCCTTGGTTGGATAAACGGAGCTCAGCTCAAATGCCTATCCTATACAAGGTTTTCGGGTGCCGGTGCACTAACTCTATTCTCCAGGTTCTCTACTCTGCTATGACTTAGAGAAAGGGGTTAGGGGTTTTAGTATCAGTAATCATACTCTATATATTAAAATATTCTTTCTTCAATTCTCCACATAATATCCTTCCTTTACTAATATCCAAATATCCGTTCAGAAAAATAAAAGAAGAGATGGGGGGGGTCAAATTGACCCCCCCCCAGCGGGAATAGGGTTAATAGTTTTTCAGGTTTGACAATTTACAAAAAAATAATGGTATATGTTCAGATTTTTATGTGAACCTGCTTCTTTTCCTGGTTTTTAGTTTTATTTTTTTGGCTAAGACTTTTTTTCAGGCTTTTGGTTTCCAGGCTTCCTGGTTTCAGGTCTTCTGGTTTCAGGTTTCCTCAGGCTTCCTGGTTTCAGATTTCCTGGTTTCAGGTTTCCTGGTTTCAGGTTTCCTGGTTTCAGGTTTCCTGGTTTCAGATTTCCTGGGTTCAGGTTTCCTGGTTTCAGGTTTCCTGGTTTCAGGTTTCCTGGTTTCAGGTTTCCTGGTTGCAGGTTTCCTGGTTCATGAATTTCTGGTTTTAGAATTCCTGGTTCAAGGTTTCCGGTTCCAGAGTTCCTGGTTCCAAAATTCCTGGTTCCAGGGTTCCTGGTTCCAGGGTTCCTGGTTCCTGGGTTCCAGCGTTCCTGGTTCCAGGGTTCCTAGTTCCGGGTTTTCTGGTTCCAGGGTTCATGGTTCCGGGGTTCCTGGTTCCAGGGTTTCTTGAGTTTTTTAGTGTTCCAGGTTTTATGGTTTCCGGTTGCATCCTATTCTTATTTTCTTTGTATGAGGGTAATATGTATTAAGTTTCCTAATCATTTCACGCTTCTTTTCTTATTTAATCAAAAGTTTTAGATTTTCATTAACTTTTGCATGCAAGCTCAAGGATCTGAATCTGGAATATAATATATCTTGAATTAGCTTTAAAGGAATTGAGTTTTTCCCACTCAAGTTTCTCATCCCAATATATTTGAAACCTGATGATGTAACTCTTTGATATTTCAAACTTAGACTATTTGATCTAACAAATTTTATAGTTTGAAATATCAAAGGTATATGTGAGTTGAAGAGAAGTTCAGGGGTGGGGGGTAAGTTATGTGTGAGTGAGGAGAAGGTCAGTATTGGGCGGTGGGGAAGTATGTGTAAGTGGGGAGAGGTGGGTAGGGTAGGTATGTGTGAGTGGGGAGAGGTGAGTGGTGGGTGGAGGAGGTATGCATGAGTGGGGAGAAGGTCAAGGGTGAGCGGGGGGGAGGTATGTGTGAGTGGTGGGTGGAGGAGGTATGCATGAGTGNAAGGTGTGTGTGTGTGGTGTGTGAAGAGGAGGAGGGGGGATATATGGGTATATTGGTGCGGTTGTTGCTTACATCTGCATGAGATGAAGGAGAGGTCTAGGGTATGAGAGGGAAGGAGGAGGAGAGAGGAGTGAGGCTGGATTGTGCTGCTCAGTATTCTACCGGGACCAGAACATAAACCATCCTTGGCTCCGGAGAATGGAAACCAGGCAGCGGAGTAAATCTATCCAGGTTCAGAGCGCTTACTCAGGTTCGGACTTTTTAATGTTTTCATTTACTCAATTCTAATTTTATCTAGGAATAAATACCAGGCAATCCCTAGTATTTCATAGACAAGGAGAATAAATGGGTTTTTATATATATTAGAAATAAGATTAATCTTGCACTGTGCAACTTTAATTAGTAAAACTAGAAGAAGAAAAGAAAGTATTTTCCGCAGACTCCGTTTTCTTCCAGAGTTAGGTTTAGAATTGTTAACCTAGCTGCGGGTAGGGTAATCTTAACATCTTCGAGTAGGGTAATCTTAACATCTTCGAGTAGGGTAATCTTAACATCTTCGAGTAGGGTAATCTTAACATCTTCGGAGTAGGGTAATCTTAACATCTTCGAGTAGGGTAATCTTAACATCTTTGAGTAGAGTAATCTTAACATACAGCTCCGAGTAGGGTATTCTTTACATACAGCTCCGAGTAGGGTAATCTTAACATCTTCGAGTAGGGTAATCTTAACATCTTTGAGTAGAGTAATCTTAACATACAGCTCCGAGTAGGGTATTCTATACATACAGCTCTGAGTAGGGTAATCTATACATACAGCTCTGAGTAGGGTAATCTATTCATACAGCTCCGAGTAGGGTAATCTATACATACAGCTCCGAGTAGGGTATTCTATACATACAGCTCTGAGTAGGGTAATCTGTACATACAGCTCCGAGTAGGGTATTCTATACATACAGCTCTGAGTAGGGTAATCTATTCATACAGCTCCGAGTAGGGTAATCTATACATACAGCTCCGAGTAGG